TTAGATCAGTGACTATTTTATAACACCCTGAAAAATATGACCTACACCTAAACTCAAATATTCACCATTCGCAAAACGCTCCTCATATCTTGCATGCCGGTCATCTGCTGCTCTTCTTGGGGTCAAGGGATCACCCTGAGGGAGGGGGAGGGCCCTCCCTACTGCGGGTCAGGGCCTCTCGCGGCGTATATAAGAAGGTCCAGAGGCGGTTCGCTTCAGCTCGCGCTTGACCTGGTTCGCGATATCTTGTCCGCACCAACATGAAGCTGGTGAGTTTGACAGTTCATAGTCTGGTCATATCTCTATATATGAATATATACACATGTATACACACATACACACGCATATATACACGTATAAGTGATCAAAAATTAGATTTCAAGGAAAGGATGAGTTTTAAGGAAATTTGGAGCATTGTTGTCAACTTTGTGAAGTAAACGGATAAGATTCGACACACAAATCTCTTTAGCATGCTATTCCAAACTATTTTCTTGATAAATGTAAAAAGAAAAAAAATCCTCTCCCAGCAACTATTTCAAACTAAGCAACGATTCATAATCCTAGTAGTTTGCAATGCTGTTTAATTTTCAAAGGTTTGATCTTTTGTTCTGTTAGATATATAGATAGATATGGATATTTATGTGTTTGTGCGTGCGTGCGTTTGCACGTGTGCATGAGACACTACGAGTATGTGTATATGATATATTTATACACGTGTGTGTGTGTGTAACACACGTCAATTCATCAAGTTATCATTTATATATTTGCACATTATGTGATATACATGATACAGCAAAACGATTTGCTGACGGGATGTTTTTCATGATCATCATCCCATCACTATACCATTTATGGACTGTCCTCTTTGTGGCCCTGTATGATCGCGTGCCATGCACATACACATACCCTTGGCTTACCCCGAAGCCGAAGCTAAATCATGTTGTTCGGGGGTGATTTGTATATGTGACTATATAAATCCATGCTTGTTTTCATGGAGATTGTTTGGATTTAATATTACATCTAAGTCTGATACGTGTTAAATCAAACATTTTATTGGATACAAATGATGAAAATGGACAGTATGAAGTATATGTCTACACATGGAACATCAGCAAAAGCAATGGATTATAAATCAACCTACGAAACCTATACATGCTTAGTTTTTTTTTTTTTTTTTTTTGCTATCGCTATTTACAATGGAGTTGTGGCAGATATAAATGAATGAATGGAATAATAATACTAATAGAGAAAATAGACAAAACAATTTATTTGTTCAACTTTTATTCAAGTAAAGGGGAATTAGCCCGCAAGATATAATGTTTCGATGTGTGCGATGTAACTGTTAAAGTTTTAAGAAATACTTGCTTCAGCGAATAAAGACTTATGACTATTCCTTTTTATGTCATACTAGTTTCCTTATATATGTGTGTGTGTGTGTGTGTGTGTGTGTGTGTGTGTGTGTGTGTGTGTGTGTGTGTCCCTTACAAGAAGTCCGACGTTTTTTGTCAAAGAGACATCACCAAACAGAGAGATATAACTAAATAGACCGTATGTTTACCATATACTATTGAAAAACAGCATCTGCACACAAAGTCAGACTTATACAAATATGTGTATATGCTTATCTGAGTATCCTTATCCACACACACACACACAAACACGCACTCAAGCACTTATATATATAAAAAAAAAAAACATACAGGCACACATACAGAGCTATCTCGAATTTTTGAAGAAAGAAGTCTTTTACTCTCTCTCTCTCTCTCTCTCTCTCTCTCTCTCTCTCTCTCTCTCTCTCTCTCTCTCTCTCTCTCTCTCTCTCTCTCTCTCTCTCTCTCTCTCTCTCTCTCTCTCTCTCTCTCTCTCTCTCTCTTGTTGTATATGTTGTTGTATATCTTTTTGTTGTTGCTTTTTTGTGATGTTTACTTCCTGAGTATGTTTTTTGTTGTTAAATATATTTTGTTACATAGTTTTTGTTGTCGTTGCTGCATATTTGTTGTTGCATTCTTTTTGTTGTATAATTGTTGTTATAGTTGTTACATTTTTGTAAAGAAATTCTAGTTCTTGTGGTTGCTTATGTTATTTGTTATCTCTTTTTTCGTAAGGATGTATTTATTTGGAAAAAATAGCTATTTTAGATACGATGCTCTGCTTTGAATGCTTGAAATGGTATGTTTTCTCTCTTTATCTCTCTATATATACATATATGAATATATATATATATATATATATATATATATATATATATATATATATATATATATATATGAGTGTGTAGAGGTATATATATACACTATCTATTTATTTATCTATTAATCAATCTTTTTCTTTCTCCCTCTCTTTCTTTATGTCCTTTTCTCTCTTTCTTAGGCCATTAAGGATCAAAATATTTCTTTACTATGTGGATTAGCTCTAAAATCAATCTCCTTTAAGGCAAAATTACTTCACAGTCCTCCGTCCCAGCATCAGCCTTATTAAGAAACTTGCAAAGAGAGCCTCCTTTCATGTATCCCGCATTCAGCACCAGGTTTGGGTACAAGCTGGTTCCTCCTCTGCAAGTGGTATAAAACAGTCACAGAGTACAACCCAATCACCATCCCCCGATCCATGGAACGGAAAGACGCCACCACCCTCCATCGCCCGCTGGGAAATTGACGACCGTGTACCTAGGGAATGCCGATACTGTCAAGCGTTTGTGGAAGAGCCGCCTCTGCACCATGTCTTGGTCTGCCCTATTCTTGAAAATATCAGGGCTCCCCGATTCAGATGACCCAGCCCTCATGCTCCTCTTGATGCTCCATCTGCTGCAATAGTTAATGAGCATATATATATATATATATATATATATATATATATATATATATATATATATATATATATATATATATATATATATATATATATATATATATATATATATATATATATATATATATATATATATATATATATATATATATATATACATTTATATGCATTTCACAGTCAACTTATTTACCCTTAGTAGATGCATGTTTTCTTTGTGAGTGCCATTACTTACATCTTGCATAATGAAATCGATATAATATAATGTTTCTTTCATTGGATAAGGAAATCCTAAAAACTTGTGTAGTAGAAATAGGTTAGTAGAAATAGGCCTATCTGCCGTCATAGTAAATCGATATGCAGTAACTATTTCAATTGCCGTTGACACCATTTACTATTTTTCTGAATCTTAATTTGTAATGCTGATACAGACTTTACATAATGTATTTATTTTTATATTAATATTTCGTTTTTCATAGTATTGAAATGGATCTTCCCTGCCATAGGCTGGCCATTTTCAAAAAAAAAATTGTGCATATATATTACATATGAACGTATTTATTTTAGTGTATTTTGACATTTTTTAGGTGTGCTAAATGGCTTGAAGTTATTCAGTTACCAAGTTTATTCAAGAAGAGTTATGCACATCACAACAAAAGCTACAGGGTATGCAGTTTCCACTTTTCATCCGGAAATTATACTAATGGAAACTCAGATTCTAGACTTCTCCATGCTTGCCCAGACCAAAACCTTAGCTGTAAGTATTGAAAGGTTACCATTGTTAAACGATAGTATTTTGAGTTTTGAATTACCATTGTACATGGGAATGAGTAGTGGCAATGTTAATGTAACATCAGAACGTTTTGAGTAGATTAAGGAATGGTATGTTAAGAATATGAATTATTTCCTGATCAACAGAGTTGTAGTTTATTTCTATTAAATCTTCAAATTTAAAAGTAACCGCTGCAGACACTGTAACTGTATTGAAATCAAGCATGCCTTAAGATACTTAGGTATCATGAAAATTTTAAATGCATATCATACTTGTATAATTATGTTAAATGGATTTTTCTTTTTTTTATAGAAACTATAAAATTGTCTTTTTACAGACTGCAAACGTGCAAGCCAAGGGTCTGAAACTCTCTCTTTCTCAGAAAATATAGACATTGATTTTGGAAAGATGCTTTATGTATTTACATATTATTTGTGTAAATAAAAGAAAAGGATCATTGCTATAAATGCTACACAGGCTTCCCCAACCATAATTATCTCTGTTTCTCTCTCTCCTCCCCTCTTCTCTTTCCCTCTCTCTATCTCTCCCTCCCTCTTTCTCTCTCCTCTCTCTATCTCCCCTCCCCTCTTTCTCTCTCCCTCTCTATATCTCCCTCTCTCTATCTCTATCTCTATCTATCTATCTCTCCCTCTCCCTCTCTCTCTATCTCTCCTCCCCTCTTTTCTCTTTCCCTTTCTCTATCTCTCCTCTATCTCTATCTCTCCCTCTCTATCTCTCCCTCTCTCTATCTCTATCTCTCTCTCTCTCTATCTCTATCTCTCCTCTCTCTATCTCTATCTCTCCCTCTCTCTATCTCTATCTCTCTCTCTATATATATATCTCCCTCTCTGTATCTCTCCCTCTCTCTATTCTCTCTCTCTCTCTCTCTCCCCCCTCTCTCTCTCTCATCCTCTCCCCCCCCCTCTCTCTCTCTCTCTCTCTGTCTCTCTCTCTCTCTCTCTCTCTCTCTCTCTCTCTCTCTCTCTCTCTCTCTCTCTCTCTCTCTCTCTCTCTCCTCATTATATTTAGGTATATGCATCTCCATGTATAAAATGATATTCTACATCCTTTTTATGTTTTTTAGGGTTCTTTAAAAGGAACATTGGATGATAGGTAATTGCTACAAAAAGAAAGGTTGAAATCGACAAAATGGAAGCACAAGGTTTGTAAAATTCTAGTCAAAATAGATTCTAATTTTATCCTTATGATTTCCATGATAAAAATGGGGTAATTTGGTATTATTACTTACAGAACTGTGTGAGTCAGTGTCAGTTGTGCCATCAAATGATTCAGCAGAAAAATCTGACATTAAAATATTTTATGAAGAAGTTCGAGTCTGAAGTAGCAACTCTAAGATACAAAAATGGTCTCACTCTACGTGAAGCCAGACAGGAAGCACGCGAAAAGGTTTCTCCCATACTCCCTACTCTTGTAATGTTGCTTTCTCTGCCCCGCCCTCTCCACCTCAAGATGTTCCTACACCCTCGCTTATACCTACCTACTTCCCACTTCCACTTCTACATTCTACCTCCCCCAGTCAAATTCTTTTGCTACTCTAAAGCCAGACATCCCAATCTCAACTACAGCTCCAATCTGAACTGCAGCCCAAACACCGTCCCCTCTCCCTCCCCGCACTACCCGCAGGAGACAGAATAAACGCCCCCCCCCCCTCCTTCTTCCCCTACTGCACACTCACCTTTATCTTTATTCCTCAGACACCAGTCCCCTCTCCCCAATACCCCCATAAGAAAACCTTTGTCTCACAAAACTCTCCAACCAACTCCACTGCAGAAACTATGGAAGATATCCAAAACTATATGCTTGAGACACAAAATTCCACAACTCCTTCCACACTCGAAGTGACTGCCGATATCCATCACCCTCCTGCTCATATTCCCCTTCACTTCTCCTACTCCTCCCAAATCTAACTGATTTCTCTGGCAACCCCATTCCTGCAGAACCCCATCCAACTCTTAATACTTGTGCCGGAACTCCAAATACTACCGATAACCATCCTCCCAACACCCATCCTCCTCCTACTAATATTATACCACATCCTCCTACTCCCTCCCAACACAACCCACCCCCTCAACTCAAACTATACGTACACTCCCTCCCTCCATCCCCTCTATCATTTCCACTCCCTCCTGGATACACACGTGAAACACTTATGTAATTCTCTTACCTAAACCCACCATAGCCTATTCACACAATTTTACCCATCTTAACCTTTCAAGATCACTCTAGATAGTTGACGTATAGCAACTATCACCCTTCAGCCCTCCTTTAATATACTTTCTTATAGTGTTATATGACCTGAGATGTCTAGCACATATATTTTTGCTTTTTTAACCATTAACCATTAACCATTTTCTTTTGCAGATTATTATAAGAAGAAATGTATACATTTTGGTCTGTACTTTTTCTTTCAGCTTTAATGTACTCATTCCATGTGAATAATTGTTTACACTTGTCTGTGCATGGCCTGTGATTGTCAAGCAAATTTTTTTACTGCTAATTATAATTGTTTTTTGCAGCTTTCATATTACATTCTAATCTATATTGTGTTGATATTTCAACATACTTCCATGAACTGGGTTTTTTTTTCTTATGTGAATATCGTGCATGTATTTATTGAGTTTATATCAGTTTCTTTCATTTATTCTTTTGTTTATGTGGTTGACCTGCATGCATTCTTTTGTTTATGTCATTGGCCTGCAAATTTCTCTTTGGTTTGTGTCTATCTAGTATATATTGCTTGCATTTATATGATGGCTCTGCATATATGTATTTGGTTAATGTGATTGTTCTGGATGTGTTACTTTTGTTTATGTTATTGTCTAGCATTTATTTCATTGGCTTGTGTGTGCCCTGTTTATATTATTTCTGCTTATGCGATTGTTCAAAGTTATTTTTGTTTATTTTAATGCACTACATATATTGGATGTGATTATTTTAGTGTCTGACATATTCTATTTTTTCTGTGTGTTTGTTTGCTTTTTGTTTTGTATGTCCTGCATCATACTTGTATAGATATAAAACATTTGCAACACATTGCCATAATATCGAGGCTTCAGTAATATACCATGAATACTCAATAACAAAAATAAAATGAAAAGCTGAACGTTTATCTAAAGAATTAATACATTATTCATAAAATTAAGTTTAGCTTTAGTTGTTCAAATGATGTAATAAAAAAAGCATGTGGCAATTTTCATGTAATTCGCAACAAAAGCATTGATCTTTAAATCATCGGTGATTCCAAATGATTAGAAAAAGCGCATAACAAATTACTGATGTTTATCACGAGCATAGAGAAACTAAATAAAAAAAAAACGTATTCGCAATTAAGAGTTATTGCTATATGGATAATACATCCGAGAAATTATAAATTTAGAATAAAGGACTGGCCACAAAATTACATTATAAAATTATAATAGTTACCCGTAGAAACTCACGAATATGGTTGTGCGTCATCTCAATAGATGGCGTTCCAAGGCGCCCATTTTTAATGGTGGATATATGAGCTTTCTCCTTATCCATATATAGTCTTTGCTTTGGTCCCAGACTGCACGTACATGGCATGCCCGGCGGCTTCGGGATATAAATATACACTTTTACACATATCTATACATATATGTGTGTGTGCATATATATCTGAGTGTGTTTGAGTGTATGTGTGTGTCTACACGTGTATGTCTGTAAATATATATATATATATATATATGTGTGTGTGTGTGTGTGTGTGTGTGTGTGTGTGTGTGTGTGTGTGTGGGTGGGGTGGGGTGGGAGGGGGCGTGTGCATATACACATCATACTCACGCATTTACACATATATATGTATATATATGCATGTGTACATGCGTGTGTGCATATATGTGTGGGTATGTATATATATACGTACATACACACACATTAACTGT